TTTTACGTTTTTTACCTGCCGGACATGAAATTGAAAAAATCCGGAAAATTTGCCACATAGGAAAGGCGCCCGCTGCCGTGGCCTAGGTTTCTCACTGAAAATCCTCGTCCCCCGGCGGCACCTTTTTTTTGAATTTTCTTCCTTTTCAACGCCGTTTTTCGGGAATTTCGGATTTCCTTCGAATTTTTTCGCAATAATATTTGAAAAACAGACAAATTTTAACTCATTTTAATGCAATAAAAATTTCTGGTCGGAGTCCCCCTTTAAAAAAAATTCTGGTGCTTAAAAAATTCTGGTCCTTAGAAAAAATTCTGATCCATAAAATTTGTTAATGTAAATGTATATTTTTCATTTGAAATTTTCGTAAAATCCATGAATTTTGTTGTTTTAGTTTGTGTTTAAGAAGTTTTCATGGTAGACATTAAAATTTTGTTATTAGAAAGATAGTAAATGTTGCAAGTATCAAAGTAAAGTGAACCCATGGTCCATTTTCTAAAGGAACATCAGAAAAATTGAAAATATACATATTTCGAGTTCCACCAAATTTGAAAAATGCTAGTTGGTAATAAATAAACACTGGGAGGACCATCTCTACCAGATTCCGCAGGGTGAGTAACGTTCTAAGTATTAAGTATGTGTATTTTGACCCTCCTTTTCAGATATAAAATTTTTTATTGGATCTAATCTGTTATAGTTTCAAAACATATTTTTCTTAACCACAAACTAAAACAACAAAATTCATGGATTTTACGAAATTTTCAGATGAAAAATACACATTTACATTAACACATTTTAAGGACCAGAATTTTTTTCTAAGGACCAGAATTTTTTAAGGACCAGAATTTTTTAAGGACCAGAATTTTTTTAAGGACCCGAATTTTTTCTAAGGACCAGAATTTTTTCAAGAACTAGAATTTCATACTAGAGCCAAAGTTTTTTCTTCAAAAAAAAACTCAGTTTCCAGGATAAAAAGCCGATATTTCTATTCATCGAAAGGACTGGATCTGTTGGTGACGAATTTGGAAGAACGAGTTAAATTGGATCTGAAAAATGCCGAGGAATTATCAATGACGTCGACGGATGGAACTCCCAAGGCAAAAAGCATTCACTGCTTTCCTTGACAGGTTTTTAGTGGAGTTTTCGATTCAAAACTATAATGATTTCAGCTCATTGGATTCACAAAGAAACATTCCAGCCATGTTTCGCAGTACTTGGAAGCATGCCAGTAAGTGGAAGACATACGGCTATAAATTTTTCAGAGCTAATCACAAAAAATTTGGACAAATTCAATATTGATAAGAGCAGTGTTGTTTGTATAACTCGCGATGGGGCGACTACAATGAGCTCTTTATGCTCAAATCTGAACATGAAAAGCATTCACTGCTATGCTCATCTTCTACAGCTGGTAAACTTTTCTTACTAGAGAAGGTTGTAACTAGGGTATGGGAATTCGATAAGAGACCTATATCATTCGAAAGCTGAGAATGAGACATTTTCAAATAGTCAAAATTGAACTGCCGAATAAAATAAATTTTTCAGAGCGCGAAGGATATGCTCGATTCCCGAAAAGAATATGCTAAAAAAGGTTAAAATTCCTATTGTAATTAGTTCAAATATTTTGTTTTAGTCGACAGATGTTCGCTGGAGCAGCTTGTTGCTAATGATTCGATCCTTCATTCAGAATAAGAAAGTGGTGGTTCTCCTAGGAGTTGATTATCCCGCAATAGGGTATGTTGGCGCTCAGATTTCATGAATAATAATATTTTGTTATTCAGATTTTAGTTGCCTGGGGCATCTACCCTCCAACCCCTTCCAAAGGTTGATGCAGATTTAATTGAATTGGAGAATTGGTGCTCGAAGTGGAAAATGAAAGCGGCTCCTAAAAAGTGCGAATACATCAAATTCAATGCAACAAGAAAATATGCCAACTCCAATGTTATGAATCCCAAATTAAATCAAGCTTTGATTCCCCCTGTGGAAAATGTCCGTGATCTTGGAATCTACTTTTCCAGTAACCTGAGTTTCCATTATCATTATTCGTTGATTATTCGGAAATCACATCAGAGGATCAACATGTTCTTTTCCATTCTAAAAAACGCATCGTGGAGTGTTTTTATAAAATGCTATACAATTTACATACGCCCTTTACTCGAATATGGAACGATAGTCACTTCTCCAATCCTAAAGGATCATATTATAAAATTGGAATCGGTGCAAAAGTCATTTGTTTTCAGAATTTTCAAAAAATTCAGGATGGCATACACTTCATACTTTGAAGCACTGGAAGAATGTCAGCTAAGTTCCTTGGAGTATCGCAGGCTCTATAATGATTTGGTCTACACGTATAAAATTATTGCTTCCAAAGAAATTATCATGGAGGTTCCAATTTTCGAATTATTTAATCATGCTGGATCATTGCGACGTCACAAATACTATCTCAAATCACTTATCAAAAACTCAACAAAAATATCTTCTCAATTTCTCTCTAATAGAGTAATCAGATGTTGGAACTCTTTACCCGCCAATGTGTTTCCGGTAAAGCCCTCGTCAGCGGCTTTCAAAAATCGACTATTATCCTGTGATCTAAAACATTTTCTTGTCTTGAATTCAACTAATTACTAACTCGGTTTATCCTTCATCTCCCAATTACTACAAATGTATGTCCCTGTTATATCTCCTAGTTTCATAGACATTTCACGTGTTAGTGGTTTTCTTCCCTTCGTTGAAATAAATAAATAATACATAAATAAAAAAGGTTCCCTCTAACCACGCAACGACACTCCGCTATCCCGCTCGGCACGCGCGCAGTTTGAAAATTAGTTTTGAGTGATTGCGAGCTTGGATTTGGCTCGTGGTTGTTCTAGGGACTCTTTTAAGGATTTTAAGTGAGTTTGCTCAATTTCTAAGCTTGTATTTGTTGTTTCTCTCTAACTTGTTCAAAATAAGCCGATTTTGTTACATTTCTTGTTGATTTTCTTCTATTTTATCACAGGAACCTGATACCCCGGACATACCGCGGGCAATTTTTTCATTTTTTTTTCTACCAGTGATTGGGAGCTGCTCGAAGCAGTTGAAAAAGTACTGTCTCCAATTGCAGAAACGACAAAAAGCGCTCAACACCGTTACTTGGCACCGGCTAGTGTCATTATACCTTCTATATGCTTACTAATGTCCGAATTGGACGAGTTTAAGGATTTGTGAGTTCTGAAATGAATAACTCACAAAAAAGGATATAAAAATTTTTAGAAAAGTTGAGCATCTATCGGATTTGGCGGAAATTTTGAAAAATCATTACAACATCGTTGTGAGAAATACAAACTTGATGATATGCTCTCACTTTCCACTTTCCCCGATCCGAGGTTCAAAGATATGTTTTTTACGAGTTCGCACAATGTACTGAAAGCAATAAAAAACGCTCTGATGAAACCTTTTTTTAGGATTCAGTCATTCGGCAACTTCTGAAAAAGGATGGAAGTGTGTCTGAAACTTCTGGAAAAGTCGATGATGTTGTTCCTCAAGTCAATGAGACTCTATCGGCATATGATAAGTACTTGTTGAAGCATTCTCAAAAAACTCCAGAACCTTCACCCATGAGTACTCAAGTGGAAGAAGTTAGTTTTAAGTTTGGTTTTGGAAATTAGTGATTATTTCAGGAAGTAATTCGATATCTATCGATAGCCCGCGCCCTCATGAAGAGTAGAATTAGATCTTCACCTAAAGTCCCACCTCTTTTTGGTAATGGCTGTCTTATAACCTCTGAACACGAAAAATCCACCCTTTTCACCAAAACATTCTCTTCTAATTATAATCTTCTCACTTCATCCGCATCCATCACTCCCGCAATATGTCATCAGTATCTTCCTTTTTCTGGCTCTGACCTTGAAATCTTCGATCCCTGGATAATTGAGAAGCTTCTTCGCAAACTCCCGCCTCGTTGTGGCTATTCTCCCCATTCGACCAATTACTTTATCATTAAAAATGCGCCACCACTCTAGCATTACCTTTATCGATTATCTTCTCTGACTCACTCTCCACGTCACATGTACCCGACTCTTGGAAACACGCAGTAGTCGTTCCCATACCGAAAAAGAGTTCTCCTTCATCGCCCGAAAACTATCGCCCCATTTCGCTTACTGACCCATTCGCTCGAATTTTCGAACGATTGGTATGTGATCGCATCAAATGGGAATTCCTCCATCAATTCAGTCTTCAACATGGTTTTCTCTCCAACAGATCCTGCACCACCTCTCTAGTTCAATCTTTTTCGAATTACAAAGCTACTCTTTTGAAATACAATATACTAGACGTCGTCTTTTTCGATTTTCGCAAAGCTTTCGACCAGGTACATCATCAACTTCTCATCCAGAAACTTGCTAGCTTTGGAGTCCCTAAATCTTACGTAGCTTGGTTCTACTCGTTTCTCTCTGGTCGAACGTTCTCTGTCAAAATCTATGATTTTATTGGACCCCCTTCCTCTGTTATTCCCTCTGGTGTTCCTCAAGGATCAGTCTCCGGTCCCTTACTATTTCTCATCTTCATCAATGATCTGCTCTTAGAACTTGAACAAATCCCCTCTCTTCACCTTGCCGCCTTTGCTGATGATATCAAATTGTATTCTCATGACCCAATCGCCCTTCAAACTGGTATCAACATGGTTGTAAATTGGGCTACCGCCAACCATCTCCCTCTTGCCCACTCTAAAACTGCCCTTCTTCGCCTAGGTTCCCATAATTCTTCCCATCCTCTCAATATTGCGGGTGTCGCACTTACTCGCTCCTCCTCCGTCCGGGACTTGGGACTCATTAATGATTCCTCTCTCAAATTCTCTGCTCACATCAACAAAAGCACAGCTTTCGCTCTTCTCCGTTCCAAACAACTCTTAAAGTCATTTAGATCTAAGTCACCAGAATTCTACATTCATCTTTTCAAATGTTATGTTCTCCCGATTCTGGAATATTGTTTTGTAGTTTATTCCCCTCCGCCTTCTTCTCGCCTTGCTCTAAAACTAGAATCTCCCTTAAGATTTTTCTCTAAGTGTATTTTCCAGCGTTGTAATATTCAGTACAGTTCCTATTCTGATCGTCTCTCTATCCTCAATATGTTCTCCATTCGAAATCGTAGGCTAAAAGCTCAACTAATTCTTCTCTATAAATTTTTAAATGGCTCCGCCTACTTTCCTAACCTAAATGCACATGTCAAATACTCCTCCTCCCCTCGTCGCCCTATGAACTTAATTAATGTTCAGCCCTACTCCTCTGACTAGTTTTCTTCAATTGTTCCCCTGTGGAACGCCATCACTTCCCAAGTTACCCGATTTCTCCTACCTTCCGAGTTTGAATCCTTAATTTCTTCCAGTATTACCCGTTATTGATATATATTCGCTCCCTATTTTTTTTTCTACCGGTTACATCTTTCCTGTGTCCAATATCTAAATTATCCCGTTTCCCCTCCCCTACTCAGATCGGCCTCGTGAGGGGCATTTCTCTGAGTCTTTCATGTCCTGCCCTCTAATGTTTTATTACACCTGATCAATAAACAAATTAAATTAAAAATCTACGCTCTCCGCCTTCTAGAAACATCAACTCATACACCTTTTGGCGAAATTCGACAGAATTTCCAAATCTGAAACTCATGGCTCAACGATACTTGTCGATTCCCGCTACATCTGCGGAATCCGAAAGATTGTTCAGTGTATCGGGCCTCATCTGTACCCCGAAAAGAAGCCGATTGAAAAACGACACTGTTGACAAATTAACTTTTTGTTCACTCAATTTGAGAAATTATGGACTGGAAAACTGATAATTCACAATTATGATTTAGTTTTTTAGTTTTTTAATTCTAGTTTGAAAGTTCTTTCTAGATTTTTTTAGTTTGCTGTTCTTCTTAATTCTAGTTGGAGACTTCCTTCTTCATTTTTTAGTTTTTGTCGCTCTAGGTAGTTCTAATTAATGTTTGTTTCAGTTAATTCTAGTTAATTTTTTGTTGCTCTTGTTAATTCTAGTTTGAGAGTTCCCTCTCCATTTTTCTTGTTTGTGTCTCGGTTGTGAGTTCTCTCTTCGTTGTTCGTGTTTTAAAATAAACAGTGTTTTTCAAGACAAAAAGAAATCTTCCTTCGTTCGGAATTCCTTATTCCTTATTCTTTATTCCGGGTGTTTTTTCTATTCCTTATTCCTTATTCCTTATTCCGGATTTTGAAATTGTTATTCCGCTCATGTCTGCTGCACACAATATACGACAAGCTACGCTGCTCTCGTGACCTTGGAGAAACTCGTATGAAAAAGCACCCCTGAGAGCATGGTGGTCTCTGAGCAAATGCTCGGTCATAATGAACGCCGTCGTTAATTTTAACAAATTTTGAAACATGCACAATTAATACCACAACATAGAAAAAACAGAATAGAAAATTAAACCAACGCTGAGATATGACAGTCCAAAAAAAATTACAAAGACTTTTCGCTAACTAATAAAAAAGTAAAATTTCAACAAATAATATCAATGGAACAGTAGTCATGTGTTAGGATCGAGAGTACTAAAATGTTAAAATCAACAAATAACATCAAAAAAATACTAGGCGACTATTGGGACCAAGTCTAATAAAAAGGTTAAGAAATGGAGAACAAAAGAACAAGTAAATGAAGAATACAAACTAAAAACAAAAAAAATCAATGAAATCTAACGCCGGCGTTGAAACTTGGTGAAATTTTCTCAACCGCAATCTTTAACAGTAGTAAATGTTGAGGAATCTGAAATCACATATTGAAATATTATAACACCTACGAGGATTGGATTTTTTTTCAATTTTTGAAATTCTTTTTCCAATAATCTATTATTTCGTTTTCAAATATGTGATCCGTCGTTATAATGAATAAAAATCAAGATTCCTCTAAATCTTAGAAATTTTAATTAAAAGTCCTATTTCTTTTGAGTTTTTTCGTTATTATACAACTTCAAAAGATTATTTACAACTTCAAACAATTTATTCGGGTATCAACAAATAGTGAAAAAAGTATTGGTAAACTATGGGAAAAACAAACAATTAAATGGAGTGTTGGAGTTCTTTCTCCAGAGTATCCACGTTGCTGAACTCCAAATCAATGTCTGGGACGATCCTGTCTTGGTACTGGCCTTCCCAATGGATCGTGAGTGGGCAATCGGCTCGGTTCATCTCTCCGAATTACAGTTCCTCGTTCTTCTCTATCTTTAACTGATTTCATGTCCAGCATATCACCATAATTATCTTCGTCGTCGATGTCCGATGCGTTATCGTCAGCTTGATTTCCAGGTTGCATTTTTCAAAGACTGGAAAGTAATTTTGAATTGATAAAACGCTATTATAAATGTGATAGTTGTTGTCCTTATAATTGGAATTTTTTTTCAAAACATTACCAGTGTCTAACTTCATTTTGAAATATTCCAACTCACCTGTGATGCTATTCTTAATTTTCATATCGTATCCACGATAAATTGCCAATGATAGAGAATACAATAGGGATTAGTATAATATTTTATAGAATTCAACAAAAATTTTAATAATTCTAGTTCAAAAGTTGAGTAATCGGTAATTCCAAATTTCATGACGATGTCGGTGAAAACCATTTGTAAGAGTACTTTTTGCGTACATCATAATGTCACAATCCTTATTATTTCACGTTTTCTACCTAAAATTATCATGTTTATATATAGATATATATTTTTTTGTCAATCATGGTCAAGAATCTTTTGCATTGGCGCAATGTCCAAAGCGGAACCAGAAAAAAACCACGATTTTGACAAATGTTCAACTGGATTCTAGTCAAATTGTATTCGATTGACGTGTACTGGTCAGAAATTTTTTTTGAAGAAAAAAAAAGTTCAGTAAGATCAGAATTTCTTACAAAGAACAACAAAAACCAAGCAAACTAAAAATTTAGAAAAAAAAGCAAATGCTGGAGAATTAGTGGTTTTGCACAAATGCATGATGAGACAACACAACTCTTTTGTTTTAGTACTGTATTTTTCTTCAACTTTATCAAATTTTTGACCCTTTCAAAATTACACTCGCTTCACTAGAAATTATTTGAACCCTAACCTTTTCAAAACGCGATTTTTTGTTTTTCTCTAGAAGGGTTCCATCTGGATGTTTACCAGTTTCTGCACATCATACTTTTTTATCTCTTCTAATCAGCTTTGTTTAGATTATGACCATCTTAGTGGTACGCCCTGGTATGTACAGAAACAAATCTTAGGAAACTGGCAGCAGTGATAGCTAGATTAATGAGGATCTTCAAGCTGATTAGAGAAATGGCATTCTAGAGCTGAGTCAAATCCCAAAAAGAGCCAGAATTATATTTTCAGCCGATTCAGTTTGTCATCAGAAGAAAAGAGATCACGTTTTCATCAATAGTTCCCTCGTATATACTGGCACTGAATTCATTGGAGCATGGTCGTAGCTACTCAGCAACCAAGTTATGAGATTTTACATGTGCATCCCAAAGAATTAAAATGGAGAATAAAGTGTAGTTGTGAAGCCTTCTTTATTGGAATGATTCATACACTGCTGGACATAATAATAAAGCCTCTTTTATTTTCGAGTTTTTTCGAAAACTGGGAAAATTGATTGAACAGCATATGGTTGTCATAAATACTATTTTGAAATGTCAATTAATGAATATCAATCGATACCGCTATCGTTTCTTTATTTTGGAAATTTCGAAAAATCGAAAAAATGACACAAAAAAAGTGGACATAATTATAAAGCAACTTGAAACAATCCAATATAACTTTAGATCTAGGTATTAAAATGTGAGGAAACTATAAAATATAGCAAATACAACTCAATATAGTCCTATTAACATGAGAAACTTGGTTGTATCTATACTCATACTTTTGTCTCATCCGTTTTTGGCCAACTTACACTGAAAGTGAAGTTTTTCGTTAATAGCTGTTCTGAAAATCATGAGGACTTTAAGTTTTTGAGTGTTTTAGTATTATTCTCAAATGCATCACTTATTTAATTATCGGAAACATCATGCTTTTTCCACCAACCAAAACAAGAACCTGCATTTCAATTCCTTTTGGTCGCTATCTTCCAAGTGATACTGTACCTTGCTCAGTAGACATTTGACTCAGCTGGTTAGCATAAAAGGAAGATACGTTTGTTTTCATTTAGGAACACACATAAAACAATGGGAAACTGTATCTGTGTTCATAGAATCACGCAAATTTTCGGACCACATAAATTTCAGAAAAAAATTGGGTTATCGGTAGGCATGTTTTAAGAGTTGTTTTGTGAGGAAGGAGTCACGCAATTTGAAATTTCTTTTTATAATCACACTTGCCGGTTCTTTAAAAAAACGGGGAAAAGCAAGTTAACATCAAACAACAACTCAATAGAATCCAAAACATTGCTGTAAAATTTTCCTTTTTGAATTAGGGAATTCCAAGGAAAAAGTTAGGTTATGTTTGAATTCTGATGCACTTTTGATAGTTTTGAAATTTCTTTTTTGCTTGTTTCAAGTTCGAGTTGTAAAACTGAGCTGTGTTTAAAACAATACTTCTAAAAGTCAGATGTATTTCAGAGTCAATGGTCCACTGAAATTATCAATTGCTAATTTTTCGAATTCTAGTTTGAGAATCTAGTTTGTTTGTTTGATATTCTAGCCGCGATTCTAGTTTTATTGAAGAAAATCGACCAGAGTATAGGCCAGTGGGGATGATTTTAGTAGTATAGAATTGTCCTTTCTGGCGCAGCTTTTCGCCCACTTTTTTCAAATTTTTATTTTGCTGTTTTTTCAATTCTTTTGCCCTAATTATTTTTTTTCATATAATATTCTTAGCAAAATCCACGATTTTCACACTCTCAGATTTTGGTGAACTCAGTCCGCCCCACTCACTTTCCCACTGTTGCCCACTTTTGCCCACTTTTTTCAACACCTCAAAATAGTTGCTTTTCACCCCAACTGATAAGAAATTCTCTACACTTAAACACTTTTTTTACTCTCTTATCAACATGTTCTCGAGGCTCAATGGTAGAGTGTCTGTCCTGTGTTTGAATGGTAGAAAGTTCGACCCCCACTCAGCAAAAAAGATCAAGATTTAAAAAGATATGACGAAGTTAGAGGAAGACTTAATGAAGGAGAAAATATGCAAGAAAAACTCCGTCGACCGAACGAAAAAATTTCGCATCGAAAATGAAAAAAAAAAAATTCACCATGAAGAAACGGCAAAAATAGCAAGCGAAAATAGCAAGCGAGTGTTGTCTTATCAATTCTTTACCATTATTACGTTTTATTAAATGTTGAACAATGATTTGAAACCATTAACAAATGTGGATTTATTGCAAAATACAGTGGATATCAATTATCTAAAAATTGTGTAAATATATAAAGACTAATCTTTCTTATATTTGCCCATTTCTAAAGAATCCAGAAATTCCTGCTTCGATTGGGCTTCCTCCCACCTACGCTGCTTGATTTTTCGCCCTTCTAGTTTTCTGGTCCTTTGAACCTAAAAACAGTAAATAATCTCATATAATCTCACAAAATCTACCTTGACTATCTCGTCGTACTGATTCCTTCTTTTATTGATTCGATCCACTTCTAGATTCCTGTCCAATACCAATCTTTTGAGTTTTCGAAGCTGTGTCTCAATCTGAAAAGAAAAACAAAGCTTGAATACATGTTCCATGAGACAAACCTTGAAGTCATGAGATTGAACACTTGTATATTCTCCACTTCTCCTGAGGGCTTCTTGCTCTTCTTTAGCACTCCACTCTTCTCTGTTTGAACTTGCATACTTGGGAATAGAGTTAGATAGTCGAATATAAGTGATAGATGATATGTCTTTAATTGTTATCTCTATTTCTTGAATAGCTGACGATTCGTCCACTTCCATAGGAGCATCAGCATTCATTTTATTGAAACAAAGTTAAAAAAGAATGAAATGATAGAATGAAAAAAAATTTCACAATGAAAGAAAACAATAACTATCAGCTAATAGCGAACATAAATGTCAAATTTCTTATCATTTTATTTCAATTTTTATGTTCCTAATAAATGGATATGTACTGTTTAAAGTGTCAAAAGCGCACAGGTTCTAACAGTATAACAAAGACATTAACCAAAAATAAAAAGCAAATATTCAAAGGAAACTGTCAAGTATGTAAAGCAATCAAATGTAAAATAGCTTCAACTCTAAAAACTGGTGGTGACATCAAACCTATGAAAACGTCAAAAAAACCTAACATCATTCTCGAGGAAACTTTTTACAATCCTGAAACTGGGTTCTGTGGTATCAACGAACTTCAAAGAAAAACAAAAATACCAATCAAGGAAGTCAAACAATTTCTAAATGAACAAGATGTCTACACTCTTCACAAACCTGCTCGTAAAAACTTCAAAACGCAAAGAGTTTATATTCACCATATAGATGAGCAATGGCAATCCGATCTTGTTGAAATGATTCCTTATGCAGAAGAAACAATGACTTCAAATATCTTTTAACGGTAATTGACTCTTTTAGTAAGTATGCTTGGGTAGTTCCACTCAAAACAAAAACTGGAAAGGAAACTGCAAGTGCTTTACAATCCATTTTCAAAACCAGGAAACCTCAAAAAATGCAAACCGATAATGGAAAAGAATATTACAATCAGGAAATGAAAGCTCTATTCAAAAGTTTTGATATCAAACATTTTTCAACTTATTCAGACAAGAAAGCTTCTATCATAGAAAGGTTCAATAGAACTCTCAAAGAAAAGATGTGGAAAATGTTCACTCATCAAGGTAATCATAAGTGGACTGATATTTTAGATAAATTAGTTCAAGGATACAATAATCATTATCACCGTAGCATAAAAATGACTCCCATTGAAGCATCCAAAAAAGAAAATGAAGATCAAGTACATGAGAACCTGTTCCCCTCCTCGAAAGAAATGTTTGAAAAGTTCAAGTTCAAAATAGATGATACAGTAAGAATTACAAAGTACAAAGCTATTTTTGATAAAGGTTATCTACCTAATTGGAGTACAGAAATATTCAAAATCACTCAAGTTCATCCAGGGGAAGTCACAACATACTCCATTAAAGATTTAGCAGATGAAGAGATCAAAGGAAAGTTTTATGAAGAAGAACTTACTCTGTTTAATAATGTCAAAGAAGAATACAAAATAGAAAAGATACTGAAACGTAGAACTAGGAAAGGAGTAAAAGAAATGTTTGTAAAATGGTATGGATATCCTGAGAAATTCAATTCATGGATTCAAGATAACTAAACACTAACAACTTTAACGCGATTATCTTTAATTTCAACAATATTTTCACTCATGATCAAACAATAACATTTTGTGTTTTGTACAATACTCTTTGAAAAGGAAGCTTTTATTGTAACGTCAGGTCTTGATTGGATAATTCTATCATTTTGTTTAGATACATCGAACACCAACAATGGGTAATAGTAATAGTATACATCTTCTTCCATGAAAATGTAATCTTTTGTTGATTCATAGTAACTGTTTCTAAACTCTTTAGCAAAATTGTATTGCTGAACAGCATTAAACTTGTCAAAGTCAAACTTTAAACAATCATGAGGATATCTCTCTGAATTTAATTCAACATAAATTTCTTCTAATCCACAGTTATCAAACTTACCTGCATTCAGATAATTGTTATCTCTATTGCTCTGCAAAGCAACCACTATATACTTTATTTTGTCATATTTTGTTCCCAATTTCCATGTGAATTCTCTATTTCCATTAGGTATATTATAACTTTCCAACTGTCTAGAAATAAAAGGCATCTGTACAAGCTTGCTACTCTCAAAAATATTCAACAGTTTATTTTGCATTTCAAGACTAGGAACAATCTTTGGAATAATCCATTGTAATCTTTTGATATTCATCTTTGCTGTAAATTTTTTAGCATCAGAAGATGTGATACTGTTTTTGTTCTCAGGAGATCTGTAGAGAGTTAACTGATGCTTTCTACCATAGACAATTTTATTATAACATTCAGCAAAACCAAATATGTGAGTTAGTGGGATACAGAAAGTAATACTTCCTTTTCTATTTTTTGTATATTTGTTTATCTTGTATGTAATAATATCTTTAGTTTCTAGGATCCATCCAAAGGTATTTTGCTTGTTCATAGTGCTGCTATATGTTAAAAGCCCCTTCATCAAACTAGCTCTACCAGGATCCATTATACTTTCAACTTGCATACCATCCATGCTATAAGTTGATCTATCAAATAAAAACATTGGTGCATTATTAGTCAACGAGACCTCATCTGTTTCAGCCAATGCAGTGTCATCTGATTTCAATAGTTCACATTCCATATAAATATAAGACTTGTGTAAGTGTAGGTATTGATCACACGTCTCTATGACAAAATTGATTTCTCCATGTTGGTTCAAACTAGATCCAGAGGAAGGAAATATGCTTATAAGATTCTCTTTTTGTATAGAGGTGTCACTCACAATAGGGGTATCAACTACTAATATCCTATCAACAGCTTCAATCATTTTCAATTTATTTAGGGAAATTTCATTTACTAATTTTCAAAAGTAATAAATGAGAATAGTATCTGTGGTGATTTTCTTTTTAACTTTATATCAAAGTACATTAGGTAAACCCATTATTTGTACAGACAACTCACCAGTTCAATATTTTAGAATACCAAAACTACACAAATGTAATTATCATAGAATCCTTAACTCAAAATCAGAACCAGTTCAATATGAAGTTTTTAAACCAAACATTATTGAATACATTTCAGATGCTAAACTTTGTAAAAAATTAGTTAGTGAGGTTTCAATGTACACTGACTTTTCTGGATATGAACATACAGTAGAAAAAGAATTGAACAACTATCCCATCACCCTAGCTGAATGTAGAGAAATGATTAATAGTAAGAAATGTGGTTACGGAACTTTATCAAAAGGTAGTTCTAACGTATGGAGTACAAACAATAAAATCGAAGTTGATTATCCAAATAGATTTACAAGCTTCTTCTCTCCCAAAAGATTCCACAAAGAAAATTGTATAGTTATTGAGACGAAAGTTTATTCACATTTCAATCAAACAAGGCCAACAAATATTTTAGCTGATATGAACAATTGCAAGTATCAAGACGGTTTTTGTGAGGTTAAGAAAAATGAAATCATCACTTGGGATGTTAACAGAGATCAGAAATGCCAATTCATCTCTATTGGAATACTTGATGGGATGTACAATAACAAACTTTGGGTTAACAATAAGAATCAAATTGCTTTAAACTTCCAAACAAACAAAACAGTACAAGATTGCAACTCAAATCTAATGATCAGTGATGAAGGATTTGCTGTAAAAAGAATTGAAAGATCTCAATATTCTCCAAGACACATTCCTATTCCAATCCCATCATATTCTCAACAAGATATTCAACGTCAAAGACAACAACAAGAGGACGACAGAAGAAAACGTGAACAAGAAGAACTCAGAAAACGTGAACAAGATGAAATCAAAAGACGTGAACAAGAAGAACTCAGAAAACGTGAACAAGACGAAATCAAAAGACGTGATCAAGAAAGACAAAAACAGAATGAAGCTGATTTTGAAAAGAGGAAACAAGAAAAGCTGAAGAAGGAAGAAGAACTCGAGAAAAAGAAACAGGAGAAAACTAAAAAAGCTCAGGAAGAGGCTGAAAGAAAAGAAATCGAAGCATTGAGGAAGCTACGGAAAGATGAAGACTGGACAGTTCATGATGAGAAATCGAAAGGTGTAGACAAAAAATCCAACAGAACTAAAAGAGAAGTCTTTCAACCATTGCCATTACCAGATTACAACGAATATCTAAAAATCAAACAAGACTGTGATAACTTACCTAGTTATGAAGCATTCAAGAATAGCAGAGAAGGATGTGATTCACTTACAACTTATACAGATTTTATAAACAACATTGCAAATTATGAAAAAGAACAACACTTAAACCTATCTACAGAAGAAACATGGCAACCTTTACCATTCCCAGGATATGAAGAATATTTGAATATTAAGGAAGATTGTGCTATTTTACCAAGTCACGATGAATACAAAACTATCAGAGAAAGCTGTGATGCATTCCCAAGTTACACAGAATTTATAAAGAGGATAGCAAACTATGAACTGTTCGAAACTGGAAAACAAAGAAGAAAAAGAGAGCTATACTCTGACTTCCAAGCAGCAGGAGAATTCCAATATCTAGAAAACCAATCTAACAATCTTCTTCGACATACAACCGAAGTCATGTGTGATATTTTTAACGAGCAAAATGAAGTTCTTGAAAGTCTTATAAGAGAAAGTCCAAGGAGATACATTCAAAAACAATTGAATCATTCAGCCATCAAAGTAAGATTCATAGAATCTTCGGAAGTTGTACAAGTTACATTCTGTAAAGAAATTGATGAAGAAGAGATTGACTTTATCGATGTTACTCATTTTGATGGATACAAGTTAAGTATTGCTCTCACACTCGGACAAATTCCAATCAAGATAAAAAGTCTTGGGGATAAGATTTGGTATTACAAGAATGATAATTTTGGAGGAGTGATATCAAGTAAACCACAACTTCACCCTATGATTGATTATAGAACTAACATTACTAATATGAAAGATTTCAAAGAGTATGATTTAAAGTTCCTAGACGATAAAGTAGTATTCCATGAACACATTCTTCTAGACATGAAGACTAATATTGAAGAAGAACTCATAGAAGAGATGAGAGAAAAATCTGATGTTTCAATTGAAGTACATGCTAGTAATCAAGACTCTACAATGCCTCATGAAATATTAGACGATGTAGAAGGATTCTTTGGAAAGTGGTGGCTTAGAATTTGGAGAGTTGGTGTTACTTTGCCAGCAATGTTCGTATACCTATTTATAGCTAGATCATTTTGGATGATACTTTCTCCAAAAACTTTTATTGATAGAAAAAATAGAAAAAGGAAAAGGGAGTATGAGGCTGTAGAACTAAGAGAAATGCCGTCTATTCAATCTCTTACTGTTGATTAATTTTTAACTAAATAAATGAGATTCTTTAATGCTGGAAATGCTTCTAGTTATTTAATTATGGGTTCAGAAGAAAAACCTAAAGTAGAACTTGTAGAAAATATTCCTGAAGAAATTCCAAAACAAACTACAAAACAAAAAGATACTAAACAGACTTCACATAAAAAGTCAAACCTATCTAAAACAAATAAAGACTTCTTGAAGATTCTTAAAAGTGGTTCTGGTTTTAAAAGAATTTAGATAATGTGTAGCTCGATATGAACATCACAATCATTATATTCAATAAGTTTATTTTCTGCATCAACAAGTTTTAAAGTTAGTGTGTTACAATTGTTAACTGTTTTATGATAGATTAAATTTACGGGTTCATATTTTATGCTTTTACTATGAGTTGAAGAAAACTTACAAATTATGTTACTCTGCTTTTCATTCATGAAAGAATCACATATAAGACTACAAGATAGATATATAAACTTATTTTCATTTCGATCTAGAGTTCCATCAACTTTTACAACAGCTATAGATTTGGGTTTGAAGTCTTGAGGAAAATCAAACTGAAATGACTTCTCATTAGATCTAAGATTAAGAAATAAATAAACCATTTATTACACATTAAATTATGTCATCTGACTTTACCGATTATTCTATTAAAAATTATTACTCCATTCGAAAAAATAATCCATTACTTCCTTCTTCAATAAGAGCTTGCATCATAGGAAAATCAGGATGTGGTAAAACCAATTTGCTGATGAATTTACTTCTGGATAAATTTGAAGGAGATGATTATTTAGACTATGACAGCTTGTATATATTTTCAACTACACTTTTTCAGCCCTGTTATCAAGCACTTATAAATGGTTTTGAAAATGGATTGAGTAAAAAAGATATTAGGAATGCTTTAAGAATCAGAATTTTATGGTTGAGAAAAAAGATAAACAAGAAATAACTATTCACACTTCAGATAGTTTAGATGATATTCCTGATCCAAGTTCTATTGATCCTAATAAAAAGACTCTAATAATATTTGATGACTTGATGTTGGAGAAACAAAATAAAATAGAACAGTACTACACTAGAGGTAGACATAATAACATTGATTGTTTTTACATTTCTCAAAACTATATTAAACTGCCTAAGAATACTATCAGAGAGAATGCTAATTTGTTTATAGTGTTTCCTCAAGACAAGTTAAACTTGGATTATATTTACAGAGATCATTGTAGTGAATTAGATAAAGAAAGATTTTTAGAGATGACCGCAGCAGTTTGGAAAGACAAGTATTCATTTCTAACTATTGATAAGACTAGTGAAGTAGATAGTGGTAAATTTAGAAAGCTGCTTAAGTATTTTTATATTTTTTGACTGTCTATTTTTGGGCTAGGTTTAAAAAAAGAAGAAAAAGAAGAAACCTGAGGCGCCGGCTTCACCCCTAATTTTTAGACTATTTTTTCACAATTTTTTCATTTTTGTCAAATCTTAAAAACACTGCAAAAACGGAATTTAATCAACTAAAAATGAATAGTTCTAATGAAATTTAAATGATCTTTTAGTTTCCAAGTCTCTTTTCCATTTCTTCAAAAATCTATATCTAGTGCTTACAGTGCTTAC